GTGTGTGTGTGTGTGTGTGTGTGTGTGCGTGTGTATGTGCGAGAAAAATATTATTGTTTACAGACTTATTGAAAACTATGTCTAATCGTAAACATATTCATCAAATTCGGAAGTAGCGTATCAAAGTGAATAAAATAACTCATGTCGTTTGTGTGACTCTTTTTTTCTATCTAATTTTAAATAATTTGAAGATATCTAAAAAGAAGTATTTTTACCAAGATTGCATCATGTAGTATTTGCTTATTGCCAAAAGGATAGAGAACTGTCAGTTTTAACTGAGCGTGTAATGCCCCTGTTAACGCTGTTCATTTCCCAGGGAAATCTTGACATAGGCAGGTGGGTGTTTTTGATATTTTGTTTTGTTATCTGCGTGTCTGTTGTTGACATAACGATTTCTTTTATCTACGACTGCCGAGAAAGTGGGTTAATTTTGCACACGGCACTGCGCACTGTATAAATATAATTGGTGTTCATTCGCTATATTATCATTATTATATAATGTATCGAACCTGCGTAAGACGGAATCGCAAGTGAGCCCGAAAAAAATAATTCCGTCTTAGACATTTTCCGTCTTAGGCAGGCTAATTTAGTGGTAGATGGAAAGGGGGGAGGGGGGGGGGGGGGGGGGGGGAGCTTTAAAGGCCCAGCCTGTGGGATCAAGGGTCGCTTGTCCGGTCGGCAGGCAATCACAAGTGGTCAAAGCTTCACACCTCTCAGCTGCTACTCTCTCTGATAATGACATGCGTCAGTTTTATTTATCCAATTATCACAAGTTCTTGCATTTCATAGGACCACTGTTTGACCTATTAAAAACAGAAACGTTTGAGCATCTCCTTTACTTCCTCCCATACCCCCACCCATCGGTGTAACAAGCACAGTGAACCAATATCACCCCTCACTGCCATCATGTAATATCGATTCGAGGAACTCTTTTCTCGGCTGGCAGGCATTGGTAAAATTTAATTTCACACCTCTGGCCTCTGGCTACCAATGAAAGTTTCCGTGATGGAGCGCCACCCGAGCACTTTCAGTGGCACTCGTTAGGTTTCACACCACACTACCCTGACCATCTTCATCCCTCAGAGCTCACCCAGATGGGGTAACATATACTCATATACCCTCAAATTTCACCCGTATTCCCCTTTCTCGCCCGGCAGCTTAGGGTTAAGTTTAGAGCCGGCGGACGGTGTCACGGTAGTCAAAATATTGTACAGAATAGCGTACAACCCATACTCTTTTTAATCACGGGACGTAAGCGCCCCGTATGCCATGGGCTTTTGGTTAATGTTACTCACTTCGGGGATCAACATAAAAAGTCAGACACTACACCCGGGCTCATTATTAGATTGCTTGGTGTCGTGTGTGTTCGTCTCTCCAGTTTACAGTCGTGTGTATTTTCTAACATTACAGACGGAGCCAAACTTGCGATTTTGTTTCAAATCAGCAATCATGAATGGGCAAAACGTTTTCCGTCTTAGTAATCTAGACATGGCAGGTAAAAACCTTCGGAAGGGAGCGGGTTTTTCTTCCCTTTTCCGAGTTGGACAGGTTTCGTTTTACACAGGCAATTAAAGAGGAATACACTGTATATCAAGGGTTAAGGCAGGTTCGACTGTATACATATATACATTGTGGCAACTAACCTTGTGTGTTGTTATGTGTAGTACGTGTGTTGTTATGTGTAGTACGTGTGTTGTTATGTGTAGTACGTGTGTTGTTATGTGTAGTACGTGAGTTGATGAATGACAGTTCAGGGAAAGTCGCCAAGCTGTTCGAGTGAATGTACGAAAGTCATGTCTCGTCCTGGTAGGCCGTGTGTGTGTATATTTCACTTCATGCTACAACAGGATTATACTCGCTGTCTTTCCACGCGTTCTAATAATTTGCTGAATGAAAGGACATATGTATGCTACAACATAATATTATCTAATGTATGTGTGTGTGTATGCATGTGTGTGTGTGTGTGTGTGTGTGTGTGTGTGTATGTGTGTGTGTGTGTGTGTGTGTGTGTATGTGTGTGTGTGCGTTTGTGTGTGTTTGTTTAGTCATCTTAAATCACTGGTCACCTGATTGTCTAACAATCTGTGAAACATCCCTCTTTTTTGTTTCCCTTTTCGTTTTCCCAATAGGTTAAAAAAAAAAGCTCTTTTCCACTGCCCACAGTAACTGTCAGTAAGGAGTGAGAACATCCC